CTTTGGAGGTACCTCTGCAGATGTTATGACTCACTTTAAGGGCATCTTTTATCTAAAGTTCAAGGTTAATTTTCCCCTTTAAATTTCTCGTGCGTTTTATTTTTCAGTGTAATTAAGGGGTAGAGTCCTGCTACTTAGACTTGGCTTGGGATATAGGCATAGATCTCTGAGCATCTTGAGGCCACTTTGCCCGGTCTATCTTGTTTTCAATTCTATTTCTGTGGGTACCCCCCCACCCCACCCCATTACATTTTAGTGACATGATCCAAATAAAATAAAAGCCGGTAGAAATGGACTAGTTTTTAGTGACATAATCTCTGAATAAATCTGTTGGCATCCTTTCTCCCTCCTTCCAAATGTCAAAGTTTCCTAGTTCTGCCATTCTGCTAACTGTGGAATTGGTTTTGCATTATGTGCTTTAAACATGGATTTATTTGGGTTTACCATCGCTCCGTCATGAGTAACAGACATTTGCATCCGGGGTCCAATCTAGCATTGACAATGTGATGCCCTGGTTGTTGTCCAAACATAGTCCTCTCTCATGATGGTGTGGCCCATTCCTTTAAGATGGAAGTGTCCGATGCAGGACTGCTCAAGGATTGCGAAGGAGACAGTGCCTTGACCTGCTCAAGGGAGTAGAGAGAGAAATCTTAAGCTTCTATTTTAAGAGGTGGCCATTATGAATCGGAGCATAGCACCCATTCATGAATACAAGATGACAGGAAAATGCACAAGCTTTCTCTGACCCTCATGAACACCGACCACTAGAGGCTGTTTCTACCCAGACGAATATTAGTCCACATCTGCATCTAACTTCCCTTAAACGGACCAGTGGGACTCTCTCTCTCTCTCTCTCTCTCTCTCTCTCTCACACACACACACACACTCCCCCAACCCCTCGATCTGTCTCTCTGGAGTGGCACTGCGCTGATGGTTATCAGGACTGAAGACACCTAGATTTAAGTGCTTCTTTGACGTTCTTCGTGCTCTCCCAGAGGAGTGGTGCGCATCGATGTGACAGTACCCCGATACCATTGGTTGAAACGGCCGATACAGCGTAGATGGGCTTCCTTCGTACGTCTCATCAACTCACGGATGCGCAGCAACCTTTCTCATGTTAGGTACACCTTGCTTGTCGAATTATGATGAAGAGAAAGAGAGAGCACCACAACCCTAGTGTGTTGTCTGCAGTATACACGCTCTTAGTACCCTGGTCACTGGACACTTATTGCCACATATTATCCCAAGAGAGGAGAGGGGCCTTCAATCCATTTCTTATTATTCATGCTGTCTGCATTATACACACATAATACCCGTCTCCACCGTACATTGATTACAGTATATGAGAGAGAGAGAGAGAGAGAGAGAGAGTTAGGAGGCACGAGTTTGCGTCCTGAAGATGCCGTCATTTGGTGAGCGTCCAGCCGAAGCTCCCACCTTCTCCTTGCTTTCCTTTTCGGAGCTCCTAGCGTGGCAGTGGCTGCTGCATGCATGCAGGCCGTGGAGTCCGGGAGGGGGAGTACGCCTCCGATGAACCAGCGTAGAGCTTTCCGAGCCTCCCGGCCTTTCCCCCGTGGCCGTGAGGAGAGAAGGCAGGCCTTCTTCTTCTGATGCTTGGGGCGTAAAGCAGTATGCATATGGCGGCGACCAGTGCTCCCCTGTCGAAGCTTCCACGTGAGCTTCCTCTTCCCCCAACCGGCCGTAGCCCCCAAGACACGTTGCCACTGCGCGAGATTCTCTCTCTCATGTTCCCCCGCTCTCTGTGAACTATTAAGAGTTTCTGAGGGGAGGGAAGGGGGGGAATCTACTCTCTGTTCTACGCTCTCATACTGTGTTTTCTGAACTCTGCTCTTCTCGAGAGACAAAATTTTAACTGAGAGTTTTGGTGGAGACAATAGAACAAGGAACTAGGCTAGAATTCTCTGCGATTGCAATCCTTTCTGCAACCGGGATGTCAAGGAGAGAGATAGAAGGATAAGGGCAACCGAAACCGAGACAATTATCACGTGCATTCATAGCCCTTGGAACCTTGTAGGCAGAGGACAGCGGCCGCAGCAGCGGGAAATGATCACGAGAACCATAACTGCGACAGCAACAAGGATGGGACTCTAAGACCTCTACGGTATGCAGGCAAAACAAGTTTTCCTCGCGTTGCTTGCAATCTAGAGTGGGGAGAGAGATATATAAGGAGAGAGGAGAATACGTCCAAAAAGGCATTAGATGAGGAGAGAGGAATCATTCAGGGGGTGTCGTCCACTCCATGAGTGAAGAGATGCTAAGCAGAAGCATTAGCAAAGGCCAAAGCAGAGAGTTTGAGAGCGGGGAAGGAGGAGAGATGGGCTCACCGCTGAGAGAAAGGAAATTTCTCAGAAGCTTCCTCATGGTGCACGGCGCCAGCACTAGACTGGCCGAAGGCTAGAGGACAAGGAGGGATGATCTCTGCCTAGGAGATCCTCCCAGCATTCAGATGTCCCTGTTTCCTCACATGCCCGTCTCCTAGCTCTCTCTCGCTCTCTCTCTCTCATTCAGACACACCCTCTCTCTCAGTCCTCCCTCTGTCACTCTCTCTCCCCTTCCTTCCTCTCTCTCTCTCTCTCTCTCTCTCTCTCTCTCTCTCCCTGTCCTTGATTAATTTTTAGAAAACGTGGATCCCTGTACTCGTGCTTGTTTTAGATCAAGGAAGGACAACGCTCAAGGGACGGCGGATCTGTTGAAACCCTAATCCTCTGCATATGAATAGAGAGAGAGAGAGAGAGAGAGAGAGAGAGAGGAAGTGAGATTAATGATCAACACATATGGTGGGGGAAGACGACTCCCTTTAATGACCTGTGGAACCGTTTGATGGAATGAGTTAGGGGTTCACGAAGCACGGCCCATGTGCTTTAACAGTTAATAGGCTGATTTCACTGCCTCTCTCTCTCTCCCTCTCTCCTCTGCATATAACTACATCTGCAAACAATGCTGTACTAGCCAGTTTATTAATTCAACTCAAACCTAGGGTAATCTAGGGCAGTGAGACTACCATGGGGGATGTTGCACTATGGATTAAATATCCAGACCTTCATGCAGCTTCTTCAGTATAAAGTACGCACGTACTCCAACGCTTCTCTCTCTCTCTCCTCTTAATATAACTGCATCGTAAACAAGCTGTGATAGCCAGTTAATTAATTCAACTCAAACCTAAGATATCTAGGGCATTCAGACTATCATGGGGATATCACGCTTTGGATTATAGATCCTGACCCACCTCCTCCAGCTTCTTCACTAGAGCACGGACGTACTGCAACCTCTCTCTCTCTCCCTCTCTCTCTCTCTCTCGCTCGCTCTCTCTCCCGCTCGCTCGCTCGCTCCTTGTTACACCTAGATCCTTCTTCTAACTATGATGTGCACTGCACTGCATGCTTTCCCCACCTCTACGGAAACAACACAACACTTAACTCTCCTCTCTAGCACCTCTCGCTCTCTCTCTCTCCCGCCCTTCCGCCCTCTTTCTTCTTGTGGGTTAGTCAATGTTCAGCTTCCTATAAAATACGGTGCTTAGATTCGCTTAATCCATGGCCAGACGTCGTTATCAGAAACCACGGAATCTCCGAGTTCCATCCCCCTGGAGAACCCCCACGGATAGAATAACAAAAGAAAATCCGAGAAACAGAGACCCATCCTTACCTGCCGGGCAGTTAATGCGAATAAGCCGTCATGCTGATGGGAAGGCAACCGAAGCCCTAGGTTTCATCCAGATCGTGAGAGAATCTCTCTCCCCTCTCTCTTCCTCTCTCTCTCTCGCGTCCTCCTCTGAAGGAGTTCTCATCGCCAGAGAAAAAGACACCCTTGGCAACAGTTGATTGAGACTAGGCTGAAGAATCCTCGAGAAGGGTGGACGTCGGGAGGTCTCAACCTGACCAACTGGAGATGGCCCTCCTCCGCTCCTTCTACCAAGGCCAAAGCCACAGTATCTCCCACCCGCAGGTGTAGACGGAACGAATCCTACACCGGTGTCTCGTCTACCCTAAAAACCGTAGATCTCCCACCCACAAGCTATGTTCCGCCGTCAGCTCCATCTCTCCTGCTTCGGAGAAGCATGTTCCTCACCTAAAAACCCCCTTAACCGGATGATTATCGTCCAAAATAGAACATTTCGACTACTTTACTGTTCATGTCCCTCTGGGACCCTCCAAAGAGAGAGAAGGAGAGAGGGGGTGAAGGGGGAGAGAGGAGGAAAGATGGGACTAGGGTTCGTGAAACGCAAGCATCACCTTCAGCATGTGCTGAATAGCGAGTTCACCTTGGATTTTTCTCCGGAGCCCTCATTCTCGCCGCCCAGACAATCCATCAAGGAGAAGACACGAGCACCCTCGTGCAACGGCGAGAAAATTGTGCAAGAGGAGAAAAATGGAGAGCAAAATGCGTACATCTAGAGATAGACACAGAGGTGACGAGAGATCGGTTGGTAACAGTAAAAACTGAAGCGAGAGAGAGAGAGCGAGGGGTACTGGAATTAACCCCATGGGGAAATCTTTGCACATGTGGTTCCTTATTATATTAGCTTGTATTCACACGATGGAATCAGGGGGAGTATATATAAACTTTCATGCTGTGAAGTTGGAGAGGCAACACCATTGCATTCCCCTCTCTCCCTCTCTCTCCCTTTCGCCAGCCTTCCCCATCGCCGGCCCTCTTTCTCTCTATATATCTCCGTCTAAGTCTCTCTTCAGGCTTCCGGTTATCCATCAATCGCCTTCCTATTCCTTCTTCTCACGTCCATGAGCCCACGACAGGGCCCACCCTCTCATCCTCTTCTCTACTCAGCGTTCACAACCTCACAGCTTTCCGAGGCCTTTTCCTTCCTCTAAAAGATCCACGGCAGAATGGGATATCCCCAAGGTCAGCGGAGCGAAGACGTCAGAAGCAGCCGCCGCAGGAGCAGCCACTGAGACCCAAGGAGTGAACCACCATCTCGCTGCAGCATCCCCGAGCGACTGAGCTCTTCTCCTCCCCCTTCGATGGCGGCGGCGGCGGACGGCAAGAAGTTCTACCTGTTCCTCAGCACGACCTTCCTGGTCCTCCTCTCTCTCTACGTCACAGCCCACCTCTGCACCTCCTACCAACTCCTGCACCAGTCGCGCCGCCCGCGGGTGGCGGCGGCGCCGCCAGACGCCGAGGGCTGCCGCGACCTGCACCGCTTCGACGATCACCGTGCCAAGTGCCGCTACGTTCTGGAGGAGCCGCAGTGCCGCCCAAAAGGCTACCTCAACTACCTGCGGCTTTTCTACTGCGTTTGCGGCAGCCACCCCGTCTTCGGCTACGCCTGCCTGGTCTTCTGGCTGGTCCTGCTCTTCTACCTGCTAGGGAACACCGCCGCCGACTACTTCTGCCCATCGCTGGAGAGCCTCTCCAAGGTGCTGAAGCTCTCGCCGACGATCGCCGGAGTCACCCTGCTCTCTCTGGGCAACGGGGCCTCGGACGTGTTCTCCAGCATCATCTCCTTCATGGGCACCAGCAATGGCGACGTGGGGCTCAACAGCATCCTCGGGGGGGCCTTCTTCGTCTCCAACGTGGTCACCGGCATCATCAGCATCTGCGTCGGCCCCAGCGAGATCGCCGTGGACAAGACGAGCTTCATCCGGGACGCCTGTTTCTTCCTCCTTGCACTCTCCTCGCTCCTAGTGATCATCACCGTCGGCAAGATCAACGTGTGGGGCGCCATGGCCTTCACCTCGCTCTACTTCGTCTACGTCTTCTTCGTCTCCACCACCCACTTCTGCCGGAAGAAGTACGGCGCCGCCGCCTCGCTCTTCGACGCCGGGCCCCCCACGCTCCCCGTCGACGACGGCGGCACCACTGACCCCGGACGGAAGCGCCGCCAGCTGAGGGCCCCGCTCCTAACTGGAGTCGAGCTGGACGACCCCATCTCGCCGCCCAAGGCTCCCCCTGCCCCCGCTGCCTGTGACAGCAAGCTCCACCCCGCCTGCTCCACCCTCCGCTCCGCCGCCACCCGCCACGCTTCCCAAATGCTCGCCCTCCTGGAGCTCCCCCTCTACCTCCCCAGGCGGCTGACCATTCCCGACGTCAGCGAGGAGAGGTGGTCAAAGTTCTACGCCGTCTCCTCCGTGACGCTTGCCCCGCTGCTGCTGGCGGCGCTGTGGAGCTCGCAGAGAGGGGGGATGAGCTCCAGCGCCAGCGCGGCGCTCTACCTGGTGAGCCTCTCCATCGGGATGGTCTCCGGCGGCGCCGCCTTCCTCACGACGGAGAGGGCCCGCCCCCCGTCCAAGTTCCTCTTCCCGTGGCTCGGCGGCGGCTTCCTCATGAGCGTCGTCTGGACCTACATCATCACGGAGGAGCTCATGTCGCTGCTTGTCTCCCTCGGCGCCATCCTCGGCATCAGTCCCTCCATTCTCGGCCTCACCGTGCTCGCATGGGGGAACTCCCTCGGCGACCTCATCGCCAATGTCGCCATGGCGCTCAACGGCGGCCCCGACGGCGCGCAGGTGGCCATCTCCGGCTGCCTCGCAGGCCCCATCTTCAACACCCTCATGGGCCTCGGCCTCTCCCTCTTCTTCTCCTCTTGGGGAGAGTACCCGGCATCTACCATCATCCCCCGCGACCCTAGTCTCTTCCAGACCATCGGGTTCCTCATGAGCGGCCTCCTCTGGGCACTCGTCATCCTCCCAGGCCGCGGCATGAAGCTCGACAAGGTCCTTGGCGTTGGCCTGCTCTCCGTCTACCTCTGCTTCCTCTCCCTGCGCGTCGCCCAGTACCTCGGCGTCATGGAGCTCGACGGCCTCGTGGGCTCTGTCCTCTCCTCTCTCGACCGATGAAATAGAGCGAGAGTAGACACAGAAGAGAGAGAGAGAGAGTAGCGAGAGATAGAGAGCGGCTAACCCCCTTCGAACGAGTCCATCTGTAATTCCCTCCCCTGCCCCCCCGCCGCCCCCTCCCCACCCCACCCCAAAATCTATTTTACCATGTTGTTTGTGTAGCCACAGACTCTGACAATAACATGCATTCAGTTTTGTGGCTCCACCTCCCTCTGCAACTCTGCACTTTTCTTCATCGAGAACCGGCACGCCCTTCCCGCCGCAACCCAAATCTATTTTACCACGTCGTTTGTCGCCACAAACCGACATTCAGTTTGGCTTCTCCTTATTGTTCCCTTCTTCCTCGAGATCTGGCGTGCCTTATTTGTATGTCACATCCAACAGGAGAGAGAAAGCGTAAGAGTGAGAGATAAGAGGGGGGAGAGAGAGAGAGGGAGAGAGACGAAGGGATATTACACCGTGGGATCTCTGGGTAAGATTAGTTGTTATAAGGAACTTCAAGGTGTGGGAACTTGCGAGTTCTCGGTGCCTTGAGGCGGCTTGAGGTTCTTCATTCGGTATAGATCCAAGCGAATCAGCTTACCCTATCATTTTGGTGTTCTTCATTTGGTAGGCCCAGTTCAGCTCGGAATTTCAAAATGTTGCTGCACTGAGATAAATAAATCGTAATTATATATTTTTTTCATATTCAAGCGCGGGGAAATAATGGAATGCCCAGTTGAGCTGGGAATTTCTTATAAATCTTGCCTCATTCAGAAAATAATATATATCTATATAATTATATTTTTTTAGTGGATAGCAGGGAAATAAATAAATAAGGAAGAACAATATTACCAGTAAGTGGTATTATTGGACTGATCCTTTGGTGGGAAATGTTCTTCATTTTAGATAATGAAACCATTCCATTACTACCAACCCACAGAAATACGACCTCTCTGAGATATACAGTTTATGCCGGAAAGGTACGAAGTTAGACTAATTTGGAAACATTGGGCAATTTACTTTATACCTACTATTCCGTCCGGTTTTTGGTTCCTAGTCTGATTTTATTAGTAGCCATGATTGGGGCTATAGTACTGACTATGCATAGGATTACAAAGGTGAAAATATGCATCATTATGCTGTTAAATATCCGCACCAGTGGTCTAGTGGTAGAATAGTACCCTGCCACGGTACAGACCCGGGTTCGATTCCCGGCTGGTGCAAAGAGAGATTATGATAAATGTGCCCCCAGAGAAAATGCTCTTTTTGTGGTGCGCGTCAAAAATCATCTCTCTTCCTCTCTTCTTGGAATGGTGTCTGATTTACTTCGTGTGATGGGGTGCAGAAAATGTTTTGAAACCCCTGGAAAAAGGGCCCGCAATCGTGGAGAGAGGGGTCAATGGAGTTGACCAGGGAATCGAACCCGGGTCTGTTCCGTGGCAGGCTATCCTAGGTCTAGACCACTGGTGCGGCTACACGTGTCCGGCGGAACCAGCCAGTGATTGAATTCGATCGGTTATCGGCGCAACCAGGTGCTGCTGGAGTCGCGGGTTCTCCGCGTATGCCACGTGTAAGGCCGATACACACGCCTGCGGCCACGACATGGTGATCCGATTCTGAGAAGTTAACAGCATAAGCGTCGGTCAGCGCGAGGGGAATAATGGAAGGAAGATAGATAACACCGAGTGTTTTTCTAACTTTCGGTGGCTCACCATGAAGTAGCCGATGACGAAGGAGTATAGGGTGACGTCAGCGGCGTAGGCCTTTTCTTTGGCGGCGGCGGCGGCCCAGATGCCCCCGAGCAGTGCGGAGAGGGAGCCCCCGGCGACGCCCGAGAGGAAGCAGAAGGAGCTGGTCACGTCGAGGTCGATCACCGGCTCCATCCGGTGCAACAGGAACAGTTTCCAGGTGTCCTCAGAGGCCGCCACGAAACCCTTGGCGTACACCCCGACGTGCACGAAACCCCACCGGTTGCCGAGCTCGATCAGCCGGTCGGCGGCGCCCATGAAGCACGCGGTGCACGAGAAGAGGAACTCATCGGCGTCCCCCGAGACCAGGCTAACGGAGCGCGCCGCGCCGCGCAGCGCCACGATGGGCGGCACGATGGCCGACCCCAAGCACACGTTCCCCAGCGACGTCGTCCACGCGTTCCGCCACGCCTCCCCCGGGTCGATGTTCACGCCGCGCCCCAGCCGCATGTACGCGAACCCGGCGATGGTGACGGTGAGGATGTTCCTGATGACCTCCATTGTCCAGGTGAGGTTGAACAGCAGCAGCACGATGTACACCACCGAGAAACGGGGCCGGGCGGCGGCGACGCCGCCGGCGCCGAGGCTCCATATGCTGGACCAGATGAAGCCGACGGCGAGAGCGATGGCGACGAAAGCCGCCATCCTGCCGGCGACGCCGTGCGTGCCGGGGAGGGAGGAAGCCATGATCTCGTTGGCGTGGGGCAGGCGGGGCCTGACCCAGCAGGCGTAGAGGGAGAGGCCCAAGCTGAGGACGAGACCGATCACGCCGAAAGCGAGGCTCACGGCGGTCTCGGCATAGATGAGGAGGATGCCGAGGGCGAGGGTTAGCAGGGGGGCGAACCAGAAGGCGGCCTTGACGGCTCTGGAGGGCCAGCGGAGGACCACGAGGAGCCACACCGCCGCCGCGATGGCGGAGCACCCGGTGGCGGCGAGTATGGGGAGGTACCAGAAGGCAGGGCGGAAGTCGCTGCGCTTGTTGACCTGCCCTCGCACGGCGAGGAAGATGATGAGGGCGAGGACGGCGAGGAGATGCAGGAGGAAGATGACCATCCAGAGCGAGCTCACCAAGCCGGCGTCCCCGGGTTTAAGACTGACTGAGGCGACGACTGGATCCTGAAATCCAGCCTTATAAAGTCAAACCTCACATAAAAAAAATGCAAGCCACATGTTAGGGCCGTTCATTGATAGGGCGAGAGAGAACAAAACACCGGTTTGACTTCGAATCGGACGAAGACCACCGAACTGATTCAACCGAATGCACAGGAATCCAAATATCAAACCTAATCTCGAATCTGACGAAGACGGCCGACCGTACCCAACCTACCGCACTTTGAACCTAATTCATTGTCATGAACTCTTGAATCGATTCCGATTCCACTGTGATACTACCATGGTCGAATCGAGATGAATTGAATTGAAGCGTAAGGGGGAACATATTCTTTTTCCGGTTATTAGACGCTACCAGTCCGATCCGATGACAATTCGTCGCTCAACAATCTAAATCGACGACTTCATCGACTCTTAGAATCTCACTGATCAACTGTAAAATGAGTTCGGGACGGTGTCGACTCGATTCAAAGCTGATGTCGATTAGTATCGAACATGGAGAACCAGGGAAAGGACTTGACGACGAAGTTCGTAAACAGAGGAAGAGGAGACCGTCGAGAACAGCGCGCACGTGAGCGGGAAAAGTTCTGAGGCAGAAAAGAGAAATATAATGTTTGAATAGGAAGAAAAAGTGGGGAGAGGAACAGATGAAGTCATCCCCCGCCGTCGTCTGTGTGAGGGGAGGAACAGCAGAGGGAGAGATCACCGGTCGCCGTCGAGGAAAGAAGAGGGCACTCACTTTGAGAACAGGAAAGGCAGCGGAAGGCCAGGAGAATACAGGATGAGGAGAGGCGGGAGATTTAGCAGAGGATAGTGGGAGGACAGGGAAATGGAGAGGAAATTGAAGAGAACTCACCTGAATTGGCGTCGTCTGGCTGATTCTTGCGGAGGGAGTGGAAGCCACGGACTGTATGGGGCCCTGGTGATGCTGCTGGTGCTCCAGTCGCCGGAGACTCCCGCTGCTGCCGGCATCCCATGCCGGCGTGACCATCCTTCTCCCGCCCCCCCCATCCTCCCACCCTCCCGCTTCCCCGATCCGAACTCTCAGGTTCTCATTTCTGCCATCCCTTGACGCCTCCATCCCTTCTCTTCTCCCTCTTCCCCCCTCTTCCTCCGTTCTATCACCTCCGATTTCTCGGCGGGCACGCAGGAGGAGAACGAGGAAATGAGGAAGAAGAAGAGGAAGATATGGATGAAGAAGAGAGAGGAGAGAGGAACACTTTATAAGTGAATGAGGCGATGTCAACGGCGACGACGACCTGAAATCACTACTACTGCTACTACTGAAGTACAGTCCTCCGCTTACGTAACTTACCTCCAGTATCCCATCGTGCCACACTCGATACCTCCGGCCTCCCCGCTCCGCAGCGGTAACTCTAGTCCGTCAATTTCCTCCATGGCGGCCGGCGGATGGCGAGAATGATTCCACGCTGACCGCCTCAACGTGGTTTGTTAGTTCGAGGAAATTAAATTGGGGCCCAGAGACACATTCAGCGGAGAAGGTAACGAATACAGAATCAATAATATAAAAAAAGGTACAACGTAATCATTACAGCGAAAAGGAAATATAAATTTAGTGCTGAAAACTAAAGGAATGATTTATTGAGATAAATTATTTATTTTAAAATTATAGAGAAATTTCAAGAATGGGGGGAAAATATAGCGTGTCTTGTTGTCGGGGCAGGCCCAATAAAAGCCCAAAAATGGCCCACGGAACGTAGAAAACCGGGGAAACCGGCCGCTTTCGGCCGCCTGCCGGGCCATTATCCGGGCTGCGCTAGCTACGGGCTTCAAAATATATCCATTTTTATTTTTTTATTACACTTATGAGGTATTTCCATTTTAAAAATATATATTATAACCTACGAGGAAAAATGATATTTTGGAACAATAATAGCTCAGAACGAATGGTGATGATGATGATGATGATGATGGTGATGGTGATAGACAGGTTAGTAGGTCCCACAGGATTCCATAGATCAGAAGGCTAACATCAACTCAGATCTTGATCCAACGATCCCATCTCTCTCTCCATCCATCTCTATATCCGTCCACGCCTATAAAGCACGGTACAGGGCATTATTATCCCAACATCTTGTCGAGATCGGACAGTCCAGAGAAGTCGCATCCGGATATATATCGGGCACTCTATACCCACTTACCCAACATAGAATCCGAAATCTATAAAATAAGCGACGGCAGCACAGGTGGGCCACATCATTCTCGGAGGAATCATTTAATAAATATTTCTTTGACTCGCTTCTGGGAGATGTTATATAAAATTAATGGTTAGAGAATTTATTTAATCTGTTGGACGTGCGATCCAGAGACCTGTCCCTGGGAGCAACGTCATCCTGACCGTCAGATTACAGATTCGTACACGTGTCTTAAAGGTTCCGCCCACTTGGATTCGATTGCGTCGTTTCACTGCCACGTCTGGATCAGGTAGAGGGGTATTGTAGGAATTCCAACTTCTAACGGCCAAATTTCTCTGGCCACTGGGACCCCAACACCTGCCAGGCGAGCGAGTATGGGCCCGTCCAGTCGGTTTCCAACTTCGGCACGCATTCCAAGATGCGTGGGGCACGTCGGTGATGTGTGCCCCACCCCCCCCCGTCGTGGACACCCAATAGTGGGTTTCACCGTCCTACCCCTGAAAAATTATACAAGCTCTCAGCTTTTCTTTGTTCCCAAATCCGGCCAGCGACAGAAGTCGGAAAGAGAGATAGAGAGAGAGAGAGAGAGAAGGAGAGACAGGCTTTTCTGATTCCTCCAATCGAGCTCATTTCTCTGTCCTTCTCGGAGAACCAGCAGATCCTCGCTCATCTGGGTCTCATAGCTGGGTTCTCAGCGGCGGTTCGGAGGTGGAGGTCTCCGGCGAGGTTCTTGGGCTGCAGGAGGCGGCGCCGTCGCCCTCTCCACCGTCATTGCCATCCACAAATCTCAGCCTTTATCCCTTCCCACCACGACCCTGTAAAGGCGGCTGATGGTGCCTCCCCTTCAAACTTTCTCTTCTGGGTTTCCTTGGGCTTGAAGCTTCTCATTTCTCCTCCTTGTTCTTGTTCTTCTTCTGATACGTAGTTGAGATACCATCTTCCCCATCCTGATTAATTCGACGTAATTGTGGGCTCCTTTTGGCTGAAGGGTAGTCGCAGAGGAGGCATAAGGAGATAGATAAGAGAACGAGAGAGAGAGAGAGAGAGAGAGAGAGAGAGAGAGAGAGAGAGGGAGAATGGGGATAAGGGGGAACATTATGGTGTGGGTCTTCTTTTTCATGGCAGGGCTGTGGTGGCGAGCCGGGGAGGGGCTGGGAGTGAACTGGGGGACGCAGGCGACGCACCAGCTGCCGCCGAAGACGGTGGTGCAGATGCTGCGGGATAACGGGTTCGAGAAGGTGAAGCTCTTCGATGCCGCAGCCTCCACCATGAGCGCCCTGGCCGGCTCCGGCATCGAGGTCATGGTCGCCATCCCCAACGATCAGCTAGAAACCATGAACGACTACGACTCCGCGAAGAAGTGGGTGAAGAGGAGCGTCACCCGTTACCTCTTCAACGGAGGAGTCGACGTCAAGTGCGTACAACTCTGAGATGTTCTTCCCTATTCTGTGGTCAAAAATCGTGCAGTTCTCATCAACTTTTTTTGATCGAGGAATTTTTTCAAGTTTGATCGAAACCCAGCAGGGTTCTTTCGCTGATTTCTCTGGTTATTTTTTCCCGGAGAAAGTATCCGAAGCATCGTTTAAAGGTGGGCAATTTATTCACAGAACACCAAAAGGTTGGGTTATTTTATCGGGTTCTTCTATGTTTAATCGTTGTTCGTGACAAACTTTCCGCTTATATTTTCTTGAGTCTCTAGAATCAAAAAGCTTCAGCCTTTACGGCGATTCAAATCCTGGGCTTGAATCGAGTTCTTGTTGGGTGTTGAATAAAATCCTCTCTGCCCTTCTTCGTTCTCCACCCTCTTGGAACGATTCGATTCCTGATTCAACTCGTTCACTTCCCCCCTCATCTCTCTCTCTCTCTCTCTCTCGCGACAGAGTCGCTGGCTTTCCTTTGGTATCCAATCAGAAGGTTTGGATTGCTATTAAAAAAAAAGGATCGCTTATATATTCTTCAGTCTCTGGAATCAAAATGTTCCAGTCTATTCGGCGATTCGAATCCTGGGCTTGAATCGATGTTGGGTTTAAGAAAATCCTCTCCCCTGTTCCTTCTTGGGGAAGGAGGCACACGTTCTCTCTCTCTATCTCTCTCTCTCTCTCTCTCTCTCTCTTCAGAGGTGCGAACTTTCAATGTGTTGGAACCCCCTCCGCCCCTGCTTGTTCTTCACCATCTTTGGATTTCAGATTTCCTAAAATCCTCAGAAACGATTACATTCTTTCATGGGGAAGGAATCCCTCATTGACTCTCTCTCTCTCTCTCTCTCTCGCTGTGTATATCTCTCTCTTGAAAATCAGAGGACACTGACTTTTTCGTGGGCTCTGGGCAGGTACGTGGCGGTTGGTAACGAGCCCTTCTTGTCGTCGTACAACGGGTCGTTCCTGAACACGACCCTTCCCGCTCTTCAGAACATCCAGAACGCCCTCAACGAGGCCGGCGTCGGCGACAAGATCAAGGCCACCGTCCCCCTCAACGCCGATGTGTACTACGCCTCCGCCGTCACCCCCTCCTCCGGCAGGTTCAGAGCCGACATCGCAGACCTCATGACCAACATCGTCGAGTTCCTCGCCAAGAACAGCGCCCCCTTCACCGTCAACATCTACCCCTTCCTCAGCCTCTACAGCGATAAGAGCTTCCCCTTCGACTTCGCCTTCTTTGACGGCAACGCCGCCCCCGTCGTCGACGGCAACATCCAGTACACCAACGTCTTCGACGCCAACTTCGACACCCTCGTCTCCGCGCTCGCCGCCGTGGGCCACAGCGCCATGCCGATCATCGTCGGCGAGGTCGGCTGGCCCACGGAGGGTGACATCAACGCGCGCGCAGCGTACGCCCAGCGCTTCTACGGCGGGCTGCTCCGCCGAATCGCCGCCAAGGTCGGCACGCCGCTCCGCCCCAATGGCGGCGACCTGGAAATTTACCTCTTCGGGCTCATCGACGAGGACGCGAAGAGCATCGCTCCGGGGAACTTCGAGCGCCACTGGGGCATCTTCCGCTACGATGGGCAGCCCAAGTTCGCCATGGATCTCTCCGGGCAGGGAGGGCAAAGTTTCCTTGTGCCGGCGAAGGGGGTGGAGTATCTGCCGGCGCGTTGGTGCGTGTTCAATCCGGCGACGGAGGACCTGAGCAAGCTCGGGGAGAGCATCACCTACGCTTGCACCTTCTCGGACTGCACCGCGTTAGGGTATGGGTCCTCCTGCAACGGACTGGACGAGCGGGGGAACGCGTCGTACGCCTTCAACATGTTCTTCCAGGTGCAGAACCAGGCGGATGAGAGCTGCTACTTTGGAGGGCTGGCCATGGTGACCACACAGAACGCCTCCACGGGAACATGCAACTTCACCGTCCAGATCGCCTCCGCCGCCGTCCAAGCCACCGCCGCCTCCTCGGTGGTGGCGCTTCTTTCGGGCGTCTCCGTCATGCTGCTCCTGCTGTTCGTTCTCTGAGGAGAGAGTCAGATTAGTGATTGTTGCTTGGGGCGAGCGGCACCCGTCTCACTATTTATTCATTGCATCCAGTAAATTAAATTCCTCTCTCTCTCTCTATGTAACTCTATCCGTTGAATCAAATAAGCTTGGAGGAGGGAGAGCGAGAGGGGGAGAGAGAGAAATATGTATAGATAAAGAGAGAGAGAGAGAGAGAGATTGATAGATGGATAGATAAAGAGAGAGAGATAGATAGATGGATAGATAGAGAGAGAGAGATAGATGGATAGATAGAGAGAGAGATTGATAGATGGATAGATAGAGAGAGAGAGAGAGAGATAAGTAGATGGATAGACACAGAGAGAGAGAGGGGAAAGAGAGAAAGAGGGGTAGGGAAGGGGAGAGAGTTATGAGAGGGGTAAAGAAAGGGAGAGAGCGGGTATACGTTTAATAAGTAACCTTGGAGTGAGAGAAAAGGAAACAGAGAGAGAGTGAGAGAGTGAGAGAAAGGGATAGAGAGGGAGAGAGAGGGTAATTAGGGTTCACAATTCAGCAGAGGCCCACGCGGCGGTGGACTGGTTCTCGGTCAGAGAAAGGCCCACTAGGAACGGTCCAGACACGTTGGGCTATCGAAAATGTTCAGCAATAGCCCCAAATAGTTTGCACCGGCCCATTAAGACGCTACGTCTCGCCAATGATCCGTAAAGTTGGGCCTGACTATCCACTTTACCGTTCCGACAACCAGCCGTTATTTCAGTTTTCCGTCCGTAACTTGTATCATGAGCTCGTCACCGCCGAGTGCAGACAAAGCTCAAGAGAGAGAGAGGGATAGAGAGATGAGGCGGGTGATGAGTGAGAGAGAAGAGGGGGAGGGGTGTGTGTGGGTGTGCGCGCTCTCCGATGGCTTCTCTCCTTCCTCTTCGGGTCCCCAAGCCCAGCTCACTGACGAGAGCCGCCGCCGCCGCCGCCTCATCGCCGCCGTCGACGGCGGCGCTCCGACCACCGCCGCCAGAGGCGCTTGAGCAGCAGTTCGGCCGCAAGGGCATAAAATTCGCCGACCATGGCGGCGTTCCCACGGTGGAGCTCACCGTCCGCAACGGGAGCTCCCTCACCCTGCAAGTGCCCGATGGGCTGGTGACCTCCTACAGGCCCAAGGTCTACTGGAGGGACGACTCCTTCGAGGAGGTGCTCCACACGGTGGCGGCGCCGCCTGCCTCCGGTGGCGGCGGGCCGGCGATTAAAGGAGGGGTCGGCCTCGTGCTCAATGATATCTCCAAGGCTGACGGGTCCCCATGGAGCGCCTCCTGCTGGACCGTGAAGGACGTCGATTCCGACTCCATTGATGCCGTCCAGGTCTTCTTCCTCCTCCAGTTTTTCTTCCTGTTTCGGATCTCAATCCTTTTTCTGGAGAGCGCACCACCTATTTGAGGAATTGCATCAACGGGCCTGCTTATTGAGAAATAACCATCAACCCCATGAATCCGGCTGATCAGAACGAGGATTCTGCTTTTCTTTTTCTCTTCTGGGATCTTCCTGGGTTCATCGTCCTCCGAACTGATTGGAGCTCTCTTCTCCGTGGGCATTCTGATCACAGGTCGAGCTGAGCTGCAAAGACAGCGCCAGCTCCCTGGAGATCACCTACGTGGTCTCCCTGTATCCGCTGAGCATGGCGACGGCGGTGCTCGTGAAGAACAAGGGCTCGGAGCCCGTGAAGCTTACGAGCGCCATGCTGAGCCACCTCAAGTCGAGGAGCCGGCGTGGCTCCGCCGTGCGTGGCCTCACCGGCTGCTCCTACGCCGCCCATCCGCCGCCGGCCTCCGCCTTCGGCCTCATCTCCCCCGCCGAGGCCGTGGAGCAGGAGGCCGGCGGCGGCGGCCTTGCGGAGCTTCTGGGCTCCGTTTTCAGCGGCGGCGGCGGCGATGGGGCCGGCGGGAGAGGCTCCTGGAAGGTGGAGGACAACGTCTACACTGTCCTCAAGGGGAAACTCAGCCGGGTATACGCGGCGCCGCCGGCGGAGAGATTGAAGCGGATCTACAGCACCCCTCCATCAAAGTACGAGACCATCGACCAGGTACGGCCACAAGTCTCTTATCCTCTGCGATTTATGGCCCCTCTGAATTAGTTTCCAAGCCCTCAATGATCTAGCAGTTATGTGCATTTTTATTTTTATTTTTACCAAGAAAGCATCTTTTTACGTCATAGAGCATGCCCTTCTCCCGGTATTTTTTCTTTTTAGTTTGACTCTGCCGGGGGTCTCGAAGTCAAACTATTGTCTGCTCCGGGTTTGAACTGGGTCTCTTTTCTTTCACCCTGGGAGTGCCTTTTTGTTGCAGATTGTGTGCCCTTTCCCGGGAAAATCGTTTTAATTTCACACGATCACGGCATCAAAGCTCATTTTTTTTGGGAAATTCTTGATCGCTACTTTTTTTTAACCAAGAAAGTATCCTTCTTTGTGGTGTAGCACGTGACCTCTTCTCAGTAAATGCGCCCTAGACATTTTCTTAACCAAGGAAGTATCCCTCTTGGGCTCTAGCACCGAATTAAAAGTCAAAACTCTTTGACTTATTAGTGCTCTGACTCGAACTTTTGTTTTCTTATTTTTCGCAGACAGTAAGTATATTTGCGGGTCTGATCTCGGCGGGATTTTCTTAACCAAGTATTCCCTTGGGTTCTAGCACCGAATCAAAAGTCAAACTCTTTGACTTATTAGGGCTCTGACTCGAACTTTTTTCTTATTTTTACCAGCAGTAGGTATATTTGCGGGTCTGATCTCGGCGGGATTTTCTTAACCAAGGAAGTATCTCTCTTGGGTTCTAGCACCGAATTAAAAGTCAAACTCTTTAACTTATTAGGGCTCTGACTCGACCTTTTTTTTCTTTTATTTCCCAGACAGTAAGTATCTTTGTGTTCTAGACTGTACCCTATTCTCAGTAATCCATTTAATTCTACTCGATGATAGAGTCAAAGAGTCCTCGAGTTCTTGCCTCTTCTGGGAGGTGGGTCTCGACGTGGACTTTTTCTCACCAAGAAAGTAACCTCGTGATCTTAAATCATGCCTTTTTATCAGAAACCCATTTCTAATTCGGTTCGATCGCCGAACCAAAAGTCAAATCCTTCACTACCCTGGGTGGGTTTCGACGCTGACTTTTCTTACGAAGAAGCTATCTTTTTTGTGTTCTAAGACCTGCCCTTTTTCTGGAACGCCTTCATATTTGAGCCCACAAACTGGATCAAAACGCAAACTGCTGATTTCCCCGGGCCTCTTCAGGGGAGCGGGCTCGGATTCCGAGTGATCAGAATGGGCTACGAGGACATCTACCTGGCCAGCCCCGGCGACTCCTCTCACAAGCACGGCGAGGACTACTTCATCTGCACTGGCCCCGCCTCAATGCTTGTGCCCGTGCTGGTCAACCCCGGCCAGGTCTGGAAAGGAGCACAAGTCATCGAGCACGACAACCTGTGAAGAGAGAAAGACCAGAGAGAGAGAGAGAGAGAGAGAGAGATGTGGGTCTGCTATGTAATCTTGTACTCTCCAGTTGATCCATTATCATAATTACAGATTTTAAAAGCTTCTCTGAAGGTGATCTACAGGGTCTATCTACATTTATCTTTGACGGATGGAGGATAGGCGGGGCCCACTGAGTTGACCAATGAAGACGGGCCGACCCGGCTGAAGAACGACAAGCCGACTCGTCCCAGAGGGTGAGTCTCAGACCTGCAACGAACTCGTTATCAAAAAGGGTATTATTGGCCCAACTCTGTTGTCGATGAAGACGGCCTGACCCGGTTGAAGAATGAATCGGCTCGTTCCCCTGGCTACCTACCCCAGTCGGGCGAGTTAACTTATCGTATTGACGATTTCACTGATGAGAGAGTAGGGATGTTATTGGGCTAATGAATCCCCGAGATCAGCCCATTTGTCGAGGCCCGACCGTTGCTATTCCTGTAAATGGGCCGTGCTCAAATTCGATAAGGCCCAATGTTTTGGCCCATTTACGCCTGGAAGATTCGCGAATTTGTTCCCATCCTTTCCCTTGTTAAACGGCAGTTCATGTACACGGCCTCTGATTGCGGAGAATCCTGAAATACGTTATTCCGGCGGAGCAGGCGATGCGGGTGTCAACATATAAGACTCGAGGAACCCAGCTGCGAGAGTCATCGCCGCGCCCCCATTTGTGTTGCTAGGGTTAGGGTTTAGTCGAAGAACCACGATGTAGATGATCGGCGGGATATGGAAAGCTCCTTCATCCATCGTCGATTCTACGGATCCGTTGTTCTTTCCCTGTCAGGTTCCATGTCTTCTGCCTGGTATTGCAATTCCTTGTTGCCGTGGGTGTAGCCCCTCGACCAATGCAGCAATGAATCTATCGTCAGGCCAGAATGATGCTTCTCTCTGCCTTTAGCTCTGATGATCCTCATTTCTGGATAGGGTTTTTCGGTGACAAGGTAGATACATGTGTCTTGTTCGAATCTTCGAGTTCGTCCTTTGGTTTTCTTGCTTTTGCGCCTGAGATCTGTTGTGCATTTTTATTCTTCTGAGGAGGTCGCTTCAGTACGACGTGGATGACGAAAAAAATCAATCGGATTCCCAATGATCTGTTGAAATGATCAGTAAACCAGCTACTTCTGACACTTCGTCGCAATCACATACCTCCATCGAATTCACTTTTCCTTTTTGTACTGGTAATTATTCGTTTTTCTTATTTGTTTCCAACAACTCGACAACGGCTTTTTCGTATGATTATTATTTGCAATGCGGGATCCTTCTGCGAGCCAATGATGTGAATTCAATATTTGCTACTCTTGATAGGGGGAAATCCCTATCTGATGACAGTCTAACCACCGAGATATTTGAGGCTCCTAAAAGTCCGCAGTAAAGAACATCACGCAGTTTTTATAGAGCGACTGGTTGAAATTACTTCCTCGTACAGGCCCCATCAACTTCGAATATCTATCGAATTTTCCTTCTCGTGATTCTATTATTCTTTCGATACGAGGAGAAACAGAGATTCGTATTCAGCAAGGCCTATAACCACCGCCATACTTGTGACCTCCATACTTGAAAACTATATCCGACTGAAGATCGGATCGCTTCTCGATTAGACTGATTTTTACATTTTGCAGCTATGGTTCTTATTCAACTCTCAACAAGCATTAAAACTTCCGAACTCGTCATTATCCGTTGCCTTTGGTTGTTGGCCCGGTTTCTTAAACTATCTTTGTCAATTGTCGGTATAATTACCTCAAGTAGTAGTCTGCGCAACCGGCCATTGGTTGTAAATGGGTTTTACCGTTTGTAAGGCGTCTATACACCGGACATCAACATGAACCCGGTATAATTACCTCAAGCAGCAGTCTCGGCCCTATAGAAGTTCTCGTTCATAGCCCTAGAGAAGTCTGGGCCCCCTCCCCGTCTGTCGTCAGAATCGCTCAGGCTTTCTCGCCTACCCAAATTGGCTACATCGTCTCCCTTCTATGTTACACGGGTCAAATTAGTTGCAGCGCTTCTCATCCCTTCTATATTTTATGCTACCGGCGATCGACTCAAAAAATTGAACAAATTTGTCGGCTTTTATGACTTCTTAAATTATTAAAATCAGGAAGACTATGCCTTCAGTTGCTCTCCTAGTAAATCGTAAAAAATAGAGTGACTCCTGATAAATCAACATGTGTTAAATTCATCTTGGTTATCTATTGAATTAAATTATACTACTCCCAAGAGTTGCCAAATTCTTCAGTGTTTTTTACATTCTTCATTCTCAGATGTTACTTTTTCCTAGAATTAATGAGTCTACAAAGTTTGGAATATTTACCATACAATGCATGTTCAGTATGCAATTCATGTGATTTAATTAACTTTGCCGATTCTGCCAGTGGCATTTGATAAGCCATTTGATAAGGTACATTTGCTTCCAAAACAGCAGGCCACACCTTCAGAAGCTTGTTTGGAAAGATGATTTCTTTCTTCTTAAATTTGAATATTTAAAATTACATCAGAAAGAACTCTCAGGCATTTACATTTGAATATAGTAAAAAACTTTGCAATTTTTTTTTCTTTTGAGTTACATTATAAGCATTCAATTCATATTTTGATTCAATTGCAAAAAGAGTATTCATGTTCTCTAGGCACACAATGTAAATGCCTAATTATGATAAAGTGGTAGATTACAGTATTTTTTAAAGCAGCTTTTTACTTGGAATAACGTAAAAACCTTGTGTTCATGAGGTGTAATATTATTGAATTCATAGCATCTTCAAATGCCTATATTCTCTATAATGTCTTGTTCTCACTTTTGTGGTCAATTTCTGACCTGCTGATCTCATTGTCCATAGTAAGAGCAAGAATTACAAATAAATCCATATTTATGATTGCAAAAATTGTTGCATTTATTACATGCTCTGACTCTTCTAACCCATGGTCAAATAAAAGCAGATGCCACCACATGCACCACCACACCACCGTTTCTTTAATCTTTTACTTTTAATGTAATGAAGCTTGTAGTCTCTTCATAGTCAACTCTTGATCTTCATCTAATAATATTACGACAATAACACTGCTCAAAAATAGTGTAGAGAGGAAACTATGTCATAGTGTAATATTGGGTGCATTTCTTAAATTATATTAATAAAATTGTCATCATAATAATTATTGTGTTGCCACAAGAGCTGTTATTTGCCTAATGTAGCAAATAACGTTCCCTCATCATACTTGAAACAAAATGTTTTTCACTGAAGGAATAGAAAAGAAGTAGGGGAGTATTATGACCCAAAAATGGTGTTTTTCTATTTCATATCTTGTTATTAACTTGTCATTTCAAATGTGTAGAATTCTTCTAAAAAATTGATGTACCAATACATTTTGGTGCTACAATGAGGTTATAACATGATTCATAATTATGCTAATTTTATTATATGATGCAAATTTTATGTTTTAAAATAAACGATTTCATATTCAAGCCTATTGTCACATATTAATATATCATACTTCATATCCCATGTTATTTTACAACAAAATTCTTATACACTAAAATATTTATCTTGATATAATGAGTTACTCACAAATTGAAACAAGTTTGATACTTATATTTCCTTACACAATTTCCATATAATATTATAATATGTTGTATACTATGCAATTATATGATGCAACTCATGCATTATAATATTGAGATTGATATATTAAGTTATTTACTCCTAATCAATTCAATATTATTTATCATCACATGATTTTCCTAATTGTTATTAATATCATTTTTATTTCATCCCATAACTTCTAATAAATTGTCATAGCTTTCAAGATACTCAATTATTATGTAATATGATTTATCATATAATAATGTATTAACATTGATGCATCACACTCTTATATAGAGTATTTTTAAATGCTCAATTTTTCTAGATTTTTTTTATATTTAAAATATTACTTTTGACTTTGACAATTATATTCATACTATAATTTTCAAGTACTAAAATATTATATTTGAAATAGTTAGTTATTTATTGATGATCTTGATTTAAATGTTAAATATGTCATCATGATGTAACTAAGTTCATGCAAATAATATTTATAAAATCTCACTCTTTTATTTATGATAAATAAAGATCGATCTTCAAGGAGCATGAGTAATGAGAGTAAGAATTTGATTTATTTTATTTATTATAGATATAAGATATATGTGAGATCGTGAAGGATGAAATTAAATTTAAAAATAGTGAAGACTAGAGAAATATAAAGTGTGACAAAAAAAATAAAATGAATCTAATGTAAAAGGTTCAACTAAGAGTTAATTTATTCATGGAAAAGATTACAAGGATGTTTCAAATCTAAGTCTTGCACATACCTCGTTATATGTTAGTCCTAGGTGGAGTGGTGTTTGATCTATGACAATCTTGATGTGTTTCAAGTAATCTCTTCTTCATGACAACCTTGAGCATGATAATATTATTGACTAAGTCTTAATTTCTCTCTTTTTTTATTTGGTTAACCACTATTAGAGAGAGAGTCAAAAAGTAACCTCCAAAAAGAAGACGAGATACTTTAAACCTTTTAAAAATTAAGCCCATCTAATAAATAATTATGACTAATAACTAACTCTCTTAGTAGATGACTTAAATTCTTCTATGAAAGTAATACTCTAATCTTCCTCTTAATCTCATCTTAAGTTATCATAAGATGGGTGACCTAGATCTCATCTCTTAATAGTTTTTTTAAGTCCAAATAAGCTAGATAAAAGTGATGCTTTCTTCTAAGCCCATAAATATATTAAATCAATTCTTTCTATAAGACTTAGTCTTTTTCTCAGATTGAATACTTGAGCTTCTTCTATTACTTCCAACTCATAATAAGAGCTCACTTAAGTTTTTACAATCAAATCATCAAAGAGGAGAAGGACCCCTTGGTTTGGAAGGAATTCTCTAAGGAACAAATCTTAAAAATTCCTAAAAGCTCTAACAAAAATAAAAAAATAAAAAAATATGAAAGAATTACTAAACTTCATAAAAGTTAACTGTAGTTAGTCTTATACTATAAATAAAATAAAATATATTAAGACTTAAATAATAAAATATTATAAATATCATAATGAGTCAATAACACATAAATAATTATATTCTCTATCTATCAATTAGTATCTATAAATAAGATATTGATGTTTAGATGCAACTACTAATTTATAATTATCATTTATATATTATGTTGAGTTGTATATTAACTAATTATGATTTTACTTATTTTTAAATATTTATAAATTATGAAAATAATAATATGTTATGTAAGTTTAATTAGACAATAAGTTTGGTAGTTTTTAAAGAGCTATGTACAACATTTGTAGTCTTAAGAGCTTCCTCCTTTAGCTCAACACCTCTAAATACCTTCATCAACTCTTAGTGCACAAAAATGGGATTTGAAGGTTGTTACAAATTTGTTCTTTGCTTATGTTTAAATATATGGTGCTAGTATGTCCATCTTATATTTATGGTGTGCTTGAGTGAAAGACCCACACTTATGGTGTATGTGGTGGCTTGACAAGTGATTGTGGTGTGCTTGAGTAAAAAATCCACACTTATAATGTATGTGGTGGCCTTACATGTGCTTATGGTGTGATTAGTTAGTTGACAAGTGTATGTGGTGGTATGATTGGTCAGTTGACAAGCACATGTAGTGTGATTACTTGACTGATTCAATTAATGTGATGAGCTTAAGTCCTTTTGAACATCCATGGTGTGCTAAATATATAGTGAAAGATATGATGTGTTTATGTATAAACATGTGGCGTCTAACATAAATACACAAACTTGAGGACTCTATGATTTGAAAGGGAGCTAAGCATATTATTAAGTTGTATTCTAGTGGTGAAATAATTGAATCAAACTAGAGTCCTCAAAAGTAGATATAGGTCAAAGTAGTTTGGCTAAACCACTATAAAACTCATTGTGTATGATTTTTTATTGATTTCTTTTATATTTATATTGAGATATAAATAGAATTGAGATAAAAATTGATCATATAATATATAATATTTTTAATTATTTTTAATTATTTTACCCCCCTTCCCCCTTAATTTATCTAGCCATACAAGGATCTACACATTGCTCTTGAGTTTGGGATTTGTATTTCATAATATAATTTTTATATATGGAACTATTTACCTGCTAATTCTAGTATTATGCAACAACAATATTGAATATAGCTCTTCATATATTAAAATATTGTACTTTTACTGCACTTTTTTATGCCATAACTCTTTAAAGCATAGGTTTTCAACTTGATATATATCTTGATGTAACTCACTACGATGTTCATTTTATATATTGAAATATCAATATTGTTAGATTTTACAATTGTTCAATATAAGTTCATTTAAATATCTTGACATTACCAAATAATCATAAATGATAAAAATAAAAATAAATCATAATATGTTATGATTGAGTGAATCTACCTACTTGTCAATCCAAATGAATCAATTAGGTGATATTACACCACAATCATGTAAAAGAACCAATGTTTCAACCCATGGGTAGGCCCCAACTACATGTCAAGAGTATCATACATCCCAAAACAACTTAACACATACTATATAGTAACTTTTATTGACTATGACGTACTTTGAGACATTAGAAATAAAAATAAATTAAAAATTTTCACACTATCACATGTACAAAGTGACATGATCGAAACTTTGTTAGACAAATAATCCGACCATGCAAACTATTATGGGGTTCAACATAGGGGTCATCTTACACAACTTTTGATTGACCAAATGTCAACTATTTATATTATCATGGTCAAGACTTTAGGCCCTATAGAAAGCTCACCATAAGATCCTTCAAAATATGCATCAATGAGTTTTCTTAGGTCCTATAGTGCCAACATTACTCATTCAATTTTTATCATAAAATAGAACATCACAAATCTTGCTCATTATTTTCAAATGCCAAATAATTAAGAAAGTTTATCTTCTCAACCTCAAGATTGGTGTGTAAGTCTCTAATTATTAATTTTATGTCAAGTTAGTATAGAAGGTGTCAATAATAATGGAGAAAAGGGCAAGCTAGTGTCTTCTTATCTAGTTTGAGGAAATAGACATGTGAAAATCATCATACAATGATTTGTTGATGCTTTGAACTTTAAACATAGTTCCCTAAGAGAGAATAACATACATCAAATGTAAATAGCCTTCAGTAAGTAAATATACATTAATTAAGGCTAAACTACCCTAGAATTGTGTCCATCTCTCATTTTTATGATTATGAGTCAACCTAATCTAGTCAACCAAGCTTATCCCAATTTAGTACAAATATCTAATCAAATCAACCCAACTTGTGTTGACCTATGTGTGAAAATGTTTAGTAAACGATAAGAAAAAAGTCTAAGACCTAAGAAATATTTAAAAAAGTCAATGCCCCCCTCACTCTCTTGGCATTTCATCTAGAGGACTAATAATATAAACTTCATATATTAAAAAATTAAGTTTTATTTACTTCACAAATTTGTAATACAAACTTTATATTCTTATCAACTACAATTTAGTATTTTACTTTGAACTATAACCTATAAATATAAACACCATAATTGAAATATAGAACATGATGTATTGCAATTTAATCATGAATAATACAAGATATAAAGCAATTTAGTCATGGATAATACAAGATTTTATTGTTACGAATTATTTATAAGATTCCCTCTATATAAACACATAATCACAAGATAAAATCCTGATTGATATTGGGCACTCATCAAAGTATTGTACTATTATTTTAGTCAACGATTTCCTCGAGGGCCTGCCTCATTTAGAAGAAGAAGACCGGTCCATGGCTACAACTGCTTCTATGAAATGTTTAGCAGGTGCCGAGCGGGTATCAGGGGTTCACCGTGGCATGCTCTTCCTCTACCGGCGCCTCCTCTTCCGGCGATATGCATAGAGGCCATGGCGGCGCATGCCCTCACCAAAAGACATCCTCGCCCCCAGACGCCACCGGTGATGCGAACTCGGAATCCTAGCTCATGCCCTCCGCGCCACCGTCGCCCTCCCTCTTCCTCCTCTTCTTCCCCCGCTCGCCGGATTTCCCGCGGAAGCTTGCGGGCGCCTGGAACGACCATCGCCAGATCTTCAAGGAACCCGGGTCCTTCTCCCCTCGTCTTCGAGATCTTAATCCCCTGTTGCCGCAGCTCTCTCTCGGACGCCGGATCTTCAGCAGGTCAGCAACCTCCCCCGCCGAGGGCGATCTGTCGGACGGAGGATTTGGGACGAACTTGAACGACCGAGTTCCCGACGGAGATGGGCTGGTGCTTTCCTATCCCCCTGGCCTTCGTGCTTCCAAAGTCTTGACCGACGCCAAGAAGCTCCACGGCAAGCTCTGCAAGCTGGGTCTCCTGTTCCAGGAGAGCTCCATCTACGGCGATCTTCTGGAGATCTACTCCGGCTCCGGCGACGACGGGGACGCGGTCAAGTTGCTCGACGAAGTTCCCAATAGAACAGCAGCTTCATGGAGCGCGATAATGGCCGGTCTCCTCTCCCGGGGGAAGAAGCAAAGCGCTTTGGTTTTCTTCCTCAGAATGCTCGAGGAGTTCCAGGATGCCGGCGGCGCCGCCCCAGTCGCCGGCGTGCTGTGGGCGTTCAGCGCCAACGACTGGGACTTCGTCCCTCAGGTTCATGGCCGCCTCGTCCGATCCGGGCTCTCTGCAAATCCGGCCTTTGCGAATCCTCTGATCGACCTCTACTCGAAGCGCGGGCTCGTTGGCGACGCCTTCTCCGTCTTCGAGGAGCTAAGCTCGCCGGACATCGTCACCTGTGTGGCGATGCTCTCGGGATTCTCCCAGAGCGGCCTCGGAGGAGAAGCCCTGCAACTCTTCCGGTGGATGCTCCGCTCGGGGGCTTGCCCAACGCCGTACGTCTTCTCCTCCGCGCTCAGCGCCTGCGCCAGAGCCGGCGAGAACATCTTCACCGGCGGTGGCGAGCAGCTCCATTGCCAGGCCTTCAAGTGGGGATTCTCCCAGGAGACCTTCGTCGGCAACGCTCTGATCAGCCTCTACGCCCAGGAAGGTGACATGACGGCGGCTGGGAAGATGTTCGACGGAATGCCCCGCCACGACGGGGTCACCTTCAACTCGCTCATCTCTGCGCACACACAGGAAGGTAATACCCTGGAAACCTTCTTCTTCTTCAGGGAGATGCAGAGCTCGGGGTTAAAGGCCGACTCCGTCACCATCGCCGGCCTCTGCGGCGGCTGTGCCGCCGCCGGCGACGCCGCCCGGGGAGCTCAGCTCCATTGTTACGCTCTGAAAGCCGGGCTCCTCTCGGACATCATCATCGAGGGATCGCTGCTGGATCTGTACGTCAAATGCGGCGACGTCGCCGCCGCCGGGAAGCTCTTCAGCTCCTCCTCCGACGAGGACAACGTGGTGCTCTGGAACCTGATGCTGGTCGCCTACGGTCAGGAAGGGGATCTCCGGCGATCCTTCGAGCTTTTCCGGCGGATGCAGGCGGTGGGGACGGCGCCCAACCAGTACACCTTCCCGAGCCTGCTCAGGACCTGCACCGCTGCCGGCGCCTTGGATCTTGGCGAGCAGGTCCACGCCCTGGTGGTGAAGGCCGGCTTCGAACCCAACGGCTACGTCTGCAGCGTCCTCGTCGATATGTACGCCAAGTCTGGCCAACTCGCGGCAGCGAGGGGCATCCTCGAGAGGGCGGAGCCGCCGCCGGACCTGGCGGCCTGGACCTCGATGGTCGCCGGCTACTCCCAGCACGGGCTTTTTTCGGAAGCTCTCGGCGCCTTCTGTGCCATGCAGAGGAGCGGCATAAGACCAGACCACGTAGGACTCGCCGGTGCAATCACCGCCTGCGCCGGCATCCTCGCCATCCGGGGGGGGCTGCAGGTGCACGCGCAGGCCTGCGTCGCGGGCTTCTCCGGCGACCTATCGGTTGGGAACGCGCTGATAAGCTTCTACGCCAAGTCCGGCAGGGCGAGCGACGCCGCCGCCGCCTTCTTCTCCGTCGCCACCAAGGACGAGGTCTCCTGGAACGCGCTGATCGCGGGGCTGGCGCAGGGGGGGCACTGCGAGGAGGCGCTGCAGGCGTTCGCCGGCATGTGCCGAGCGGGCTGGGGGGTCAACCCCATCGCCTGCGGCAGCGCCGCCGTCGCCGCGGCCGACATGGCCGACGTGAAGCGGGGGCGGCAGATCCACGGGAGGATGGTGAGAGCCGGCTGCGACGGGAGAGTGGAAGCCGGCAACGTGCTGGTCACGCTCTACGCCAAGTGCGGGAGCATCGAGGAGGCGGAAATGGCGTTCTCCGCCATGCCGGAGAGGAACGAGATCTCCTGGAACGCCATGATCACCGGTTACTCCCAGCACGGCCGCGGGGCGGCGGCGCTGGAGCTGTTCGAGAAGATGAAGGAGGAAGGCCTGCGGCCTAACCACGCAACCTTCGCCGGCGTCCTCGCCGCCTGCAGCCACGGGGGGCTGGTGGAGGAAGGAGTCGCGCACTTCCAGTCCATGGCGGCGGCCCACGGCGTCCTTCCCCGGGCGGAGCACTACGCCGGCGTGATCGACATCCTCGGCCGCGCCGGCGAGCTCCGCCGCGCGAGGAGGTTCGTGGAGGAGATGCCCGGCGGCGCCGACGCTATGGCCTGGAGGACCCTTCTTGGAGCTTGCCGGGTCCACCGGAACATGGAGGTGGGGGAGCTGGCGGCGCGCCGCCTCCTGGAGCTCGACCCGGAGGACGCGGCGGCGTATGTGCTCCTCTCGAACATCTACTCCGCTGCCCGGCGGTGGGATTGCAGAGACAGAGTGAGGAGGATGATGAAGGAGAGAGGGGTGAAGAAGGAGCCCGGAAGGAGCTGGATCGAGGCCGGGAACTACATGCACGCCTTTTTCGCCGGCGACCGGCTGCATCCGCGGGCGGCGGAGATCTACAACTTTTTGGAGGTCTTGAACCACAGGGCGGCGGCGGAGGGATACTCGGCGGAGACGGGGAGAACGAAGGAGGAGGACACGGCGGCTTACGTGCACAGCGAGAAGCTCGCCGTCGCATTTGGGCTGATGAGCTCGCCGGCGCCGGAGATGCCGATCCGCGTCATCAAGAACTTGCGGGTCTGCGACGACTGCCACACCTGGATGAAGTTCGTGTCGCGAATCGCCGCCCGGACGGTCATACTCAGGGACGTCTATCGGTTCCACCACTTCAAGGACGGCGCTTGCAGTTGCAGAGACTACTGGTGACCCCCTCCTTCCTTCCTTCCTTCCTAGAGAGAGAGAGAGAGGGAGAGAGAGCTGTGGGGTCGATTGGATAAAAACCTTGGCTTCTTCCCGTGGTCAACGTTGGTCAAACATGCTCAAGCTCCGGGTTTTACTTAGCCCATTGGCGGTCTTAATTCCAAAAATAGAATGATTAAGCCGGTCAAATAATTAATAAGGAAGATGGTATATTTTTGACCTCATTTCTTATTAATAGTAAATCTTCCCTATTATTATTTTTGGGGTCAAAACATGTAAAATCGACCTCAATAGGTCATAAAAGGAAACATATTTACATGATTACTATAAAAAGGATATGATTCAACAACTCGGATATTTGCTTAAAAGGATACGATGATGTGATATCTTCATGTTCTAACGTTGTCTGGTCTCGTTTTCTGTTCTTGAAAGCCATCTATGTCTTCTCAACTAACGGTTAAGGTCCTCTCTCCCCCAAGTCAACGCTAATGTCTCTGGATTCCACTCTCACAGTTGAGAATTCTTTATGTGCATTTAATGGTCATAAATTCAGTGTCTCCACTACCTTCCATCTCTCTCTCTCTCTCCTTCTAACTCTTTATTAATCTGGTTGGGATGCTTAGTGGGGGGCAGCTCAAGCTAAAATAATTGTTATTTTTCTCTTCTTTTGAGGAGTATTTTACTAATTTTAAATTAATATATTTAAGGAAATTCACAAAGTGTGGGTTTATAAATTCCTGTTTAGTAAGTTTTATTGTAAATTTTGGAACGGCGGAAAATACTTTAATATTTGGTTGTCCAGTACTTAACGGCTAATCACGACAGGGTTTTTTTATTTAATGGGGAAATAATATTATTTATTTTTCAGGTGATGGCGCCGGGATTCAGACCTTAACAGCTAAGACGCCGGGATTGACGGAATCCTTTGAGTTGTCCGCATTGGCGTCGACCCCCGGAGTCGTCGATTCAGACGAACTAAGCTTCAGCACGAAGCGCTTCCACAGATTCTTCGGAATAAGCTATTTGACCCAACCCGATTCATACCGAAGCGGTTACGTCGACGCCCAATGGAAAAGCACTTCTCATATTATATAGTCCAGCCTGGCCTTCACCAGCGTGTCCTGTAGCCACACCTTCTTCTCCATGGCGGCGGAAGAATCCGGCAGCTCGGCGGGGCACCCCCTTCTGGGCCGCGTGGCCATCGTCACCGGCGGGGCGGGGGAAATCGGTGGCGCCATCGCCGCCCACCTCGCCGCCCTCGGCGCTCACGTCGTGATCAGCTACTTCTCCGGGTCCGGCCAGGCCGACCGCCTCGTGGGGGAGATCAACGCATCCCCGTCGCCTTCGCGGGCGATCGCCGTCAAGGCAGACGTCTCCAAGGCGGCGGATGTGAAGGCCCTGTTCGACGCGGCGGAGGAGACCTTCGGCGGCGCCGCACACATCCTCGTCGCTTGCGCCGGCGTGCTGGACTCCAAGTACCCGACGCTGGCGGCCACGCCGGAGGAGGATTGGGACAAGGCCTTCGCCGTGAACGCGAAGGGGACCTTTCTGTGCTGCCGCGAGGCGGCGAACCGGCTGGTTCGCGGCGGCGGAGGGAGGATCGTCACCATCTCGACGGGGCTGGTGAAGGCGCTGCAGCCGCACTTCGCGGCGTACACAGCATCGAAGGCGGCGGTGGAGGCGACGACGAAGATCTTGGCGAAGGAGCTGCGGGGGACGCAGATAACGGCCAACTGCGTGGCGCCGGGGCCGATGGACACGGAGATGTTCCACACGGGGTTGACGGAGGACATCGTGAAGATGATAGTGGGGATGGTCACTCTGGGAAGGCTGGGAAAGCCGGAGGAGATCGCCGCCGTGGTGGGCTTCCTCACCACTGACGCCGGCGGGTGGGTTCACGGCCAGGTCATCGGCGCCAACGGCGGCTTCATCTGACGGCCTGCAAGAGCGTGGTTTTCTTATTCCTATCCTCTCTCTCTCTCTCTCTCCCTTGTGCTTCGCTGTCAAGACAGTATATCGTTCTTCATCAAAACCAGAAAAGTCATCGTCGTGCCACGCATGCATGCGACTTTTCTACAAGAGGGTTTTGCATATATATATATATCAGCATGACGGCATCCATGACGTGATGGTGATGTCATATCTTCGCTTGTTAACAACTCCCACCAATTAGTTTATCGTTCATACCAATGCGTTCAAAGAACCTATTTAGAACGTGAAGATACCTAAAGTTCCACTATTCATCATGGAATTTTAATGGAACATGAGAGTCTACTTAAATCCCCAATGCATTTATTTTTTAAAAATCTACTAATAAAAAAAGCCAAAAATGTAGTTATGGATCCATTAAATGCATGATCTAATAATAGAAAAATACAAAAGGAATCAATTACTACGCCTACTCAAGGAAAATACATTTTTAATCATAATGGGTGGGCTAGATAAGACTTTTGGGGTCTAATTACATTTCCCATAAATCTTTGGGTCTTTTCACATTATGTGACATTATTTGAGAACGACTCACTCTTTGGTATAAGATAATAATGAGATTCTACATTGTATTGACTTTGCACATCGAATGGATGTCCTATATCTTGCTTAACAAGGGAGTTATCAGCCATGTATGCAATGATGCAAATATAAGATAATAATGATTTAATTGCTATAACAAGGATAGTAGAACATTCTTTTATGATATTTTCCTTCATTTTGAGAATTATTTTTGGAAAAATTCGATCATTAACACTAAAGTATTGCCATGCACAACAAGAACATTATTCCTTCCTATTTGATGAGTCTCAAGTATTTTTTTATTCATTTTTGAAAAAAATGAATATATTTTCCCACCATGATGTGTCATCAACATCTAATTACTATGGTATTTCCAAACTTTTATGTTAAACATTCATGCAAACCATATCATATGTGGGAAATTTAACACAACATGGTGTTGAGCTTTGTGACTCTTATAAGTTTTGAAGTTCGCAAAAGCTTAGTATTCCAAAATTGTCATTTCGCTTTAATAGAAATCCATATTGACATATATTAAGATTGCTAGTTCAATAGATGAAGTTTAAGTTACAAAATAATAGAGTACATTAGGGTTGACATTTCAATAGATAAAATCATAGATTGAGGAATATTATAGCACATCAAGTTTAAATTTTAATATAGTCTATCAAAGTTGATATTTTAGTATGTGCAACTATCATTGTAGAATAGTGGAGTACATCAAAGTTAATATTTCAAGAAATAACATTGCATAATAATGCAATGTGACATGGTTGATAACTAGGATATAAAGTTTATATTATGAAATGATCTACTATATCAACTTTAATTAAATAAACATATGTATTGCAATTGAAATATATACCAATATTAATTGGTCAAATTTCATCTTATGGAATAGTGGATAATATCAAAGTTAATATGACTATATATGAAAAATTACATAGAAAAATAATAAAGTATATCAAGTCTTTGTCATTATACTCTAAATGAAAGCTATAATTTTATGATTTGGAAATTTTTATAACAACAACACAAAATAAAGCCCTAATTACTCTTGATATATGAAATCATTACAATAAGCTTTCCATAAATGAGAGAAAACTTGAAATTCGAAGAAAAGACAAAACAACCAACATAAATGAATTATGTACCTTTGTTGTGTCACGTTAGCACTTCTAAGTTGAATCTAGATCAGCAATCTTTCAAATTACTAAAGTTTATAAAAGAACATTCAATTGTGAACCAACACATCATATTGTAAGAAGAGTTTTGAAAGGTTAAATTTAGTTCTCTTTGATGCTAATGCTTGTAGACACTTTGATTATATTAGATTTATGAATCTAGAATAGTGATCTAGGATCATATCTCCATAGTAATGTGAACATTTAAATTAGATTCATGAATCAAACAGAAGTGAGTTGGCATCTAATATTTACCCATTACATTGTCCATGAATAATGAACATAGAAAGTATCTGAGAGTATAGTAGATCAAGAGGGTTAAACTATTGTACATAGATTCTTAAACTTTACGTGCATACAAGTGATTTCATGTGTGAATCTACTAGAGAAAGGTCAATGACTAATATAGAAGTTCTTCTTACTTGTTTTATGTGTCTTCTATATAATAATCTTTTTTTGATGTCCTAAATGAGATTATTGTCTTTTCTAAAAGTGATTCAACTTATCAAAATGACATCAAAACATCATTGAGTTTAAATCCGAGTTGTTGGTCCATTTTTTCTTAAAACCTCATGTTAAATATACTACTTTTAATGAGAGAAATTATGCATGATTAGGCTTCAAATGTGTCAGCCCAAACTATAAATATCAAAAACTCCACCATGTAATGTACTATATCTGTTCACACATTCGTAATTTTGATAAATAGAGAGATTTCAATATTTTTATTCAATTCACCATGTGTACATAATATTTTTTTTCTTGCTATCATGTGTGTAGATTGTAGCTACTCTTACCAAGTTTATGCACCTCCTTTCTTTGGCTTATATGCCACAATTTTAACTTGATTTTCCCTGGTGATTTTAATATATTCAAAGAATTACTATGCTTCCTTGATCTAATCTAAAAACTACTTAATTCCAAGATCACATTGAAAACTAGTTTAATGCTTCCTCCTTATAAACTCGTTTAGATCTTCATCACAAAGTTTTCCCCTATTATTTAGGCACATTAATAAGTAGTAATTATTCATCCTAAAAATAAAAATCTCCATGCAAGTTGGCTGCTTGGGTAGGTTGCAATCAAAACCATAATGCATGCAATCAATGTTGTCTATGGTCATTTACAGATTGCACTTGAGTTCAAGTGATATTATGTTAGATTGAAGTTGTCATAACTTGAAAAGCTCAACTCCCAAAAGGGCCCCAAAACTTGATCTACATTATCAGCATAATTTCCTCTTCCATGTGACATGCCAACTTCATAAGGGTGAATATCAGAGGAAGAGTGTTTTGGAATCCATGATGAACCAAAATTAAAATCTTTGCATCCACATGATGAGCCATCATAGAATAAATATCAAAAATGAAAACAAGTTTTCAATTAAAAAAATTAAAAAACATTTGAAAATATAGATTTCAAATATATTAAAAATAGATATTACATTTAAACAACACCATTCATCCATGCTCATTGTCACATACTAATCTTGATCAATGTCTTTCAACATGGTTTGATTAAATCAAAATAGAATAAACTTCCATTAATATAGTGATGTTAATGATTTTTCCTATCTTAATTTATCACACGATTTTTTTAGATTCTTTTCTAGAAAATAAACACGTGCCATTTTTTAAAAATATCAGTTAAGGTTCTTTGGGAAAAAAAAGTTGGAGTATTCATATCTCTCTTAGAAGTTACATTGGGCCAATTGGGCCCGCTGGGCCTTCCCCGAGGTCAGGACCTGTTGGGTGGCGTCTCTTCGAGGCACCCTACCGCCTAGAGAGGGGGAGTGAGGGGAGAGAGAGAGAGAGAGAGACCAGTTTTTTCTGTTCGTTCTGATGTGCGTTAAGTTCATAGAACCTGCGGTTTGTACCTTGGGCCCCTTATTGGGCCTGGGCCCAATATCTGATACACGGTGCTGACTGACGTATTGCTCACTCTTCCATCACAGCTTTATAGTGGACCATCAGGTTCCCCGTGCTTTTCTGAACTTTACTGATGGCAGCGGCGGAATCCGGGAGCCCCCCCGCGCTCCCCCTTCTGGGCCGCGTGGCCATCGTCACCGGCGCCTCCCGCGGGATCGGCCGCGCGATCGCCGCCCACCTCGCCTCCCTCGGCGCCCACCTCGTAGTCACCTACGCCGCCAGCGCCGCCCAGGCAGAGCTCCTCGCGGCGGAGATCACCGCATCGCCGTCGCCATCCCGGGCAATCGCCGTCCGCGCCGACGTCTCCAAGGCGGTGGAGGTGAAGGCCCTGTTCGATGCAGCGGAGGCGGCCTTCGGCGGTGCCGCCCATATCCTCGTCTCATCCGCGGGCGTGCTGGACCCCAAGTACCCGCCGCTGGCGGCCACGCCGGAGGAGGACTGGGACGCGACCTTCGCCGTGAACGCGAAGGGGGTCTTCCTGTGCTGCCGCGAGGCGGCGAACCGGCTAGTCCGCGGCGGCGGAGGAAGGATCATCAACATCTCCTCCTCCGTGGTGGGGTCGCTGTTTCCGAGGTTCGCGGCGTACGCGGCGTCAAAGGCGGCGGTGGAGGCGATGACGAAGGTGCTGGCGAAGGAGCTGCGGGGGACGGGGATCACGGCGAACTGCGTAGCGCCGGGGGCGGTGGCGACGGAGATGTTCTTTGCCGGGAAGAGCGAGGAGGATGTGAAGAGGGCGGTGGATTTGGTGCCTCTGGGCCGCCTCGGGGAGACCGAGGACATCGCCCCCGTCGTCGGCTTCCTCGCCTCCGACGCCGGCCAGTGGATCAACGGCCAGGTCGTCCGCGTCAATGGCGGCTACGTCTAAAGATTACATCTTGCTGGGTTCTTCTTCTTCCTCTTGGGTTCTTCTTCTCGTACCTTGATTCCTATGGTTTTCTGAGGTTCCCCTAATCAGAGACTCTCTCTCTCTCTCTCTCTCGCTCCCCGCTTCTGAATTGAACTGAAGTCCCCAATGAACAGCACGAAGAACCTTCTTCTGCTGTCGCTCACCAATCGCTTGCTCGAGAGGTGCTTACGCCTCGAGGGTAGAGATAGGGAGAGAGAGAGAGAGGGATTTCGGGCAGGGCCGTACACAATAAATCATAACGTAATCAATCAATAAGTTTTTTATAATAATACTTAATGATATGCCCCTGATTAGTCAGCTGATTGACGGTCAGGATGGCGCCTATGGATCCACTAAATTCTGAAATGACGGTCCACAATTCGGACCCGACATGGGATCCATATCGACCGTCAATCAGGTAGTGCTTTCCGGCGTTCCTAGGATAAGTCTAGAAGTTTCTTAACCGGCAGCTGTCGGTCAAGAAAAGTCCGTGGGGCCTAGTGTCTCCACCGCCATACAAAACCCAGCCCACTGGCAACCCTAGAAAACCGATCCAGGGAACCGCTTCCCCTCTCTCTCTCTCTCTCTCTCTCTCTCTCTCTCTCTCTCTCTCTCTCTCTCTCTCTCTCTCTATTTTGGCTCCGATCTTCACCCTGGATCTCTATAAAAAAGGCTCCCTTTCAAATTTCTCAGCGTAGATCGAGCTCTATAGGCCATCTTTTCGAGCATACTCTTGTCGTTCCTTGCCCAGATTGCCTGTAATTCTTCTTAATAGGGAGGTGGACGTCCGATTTAGTGCTGGTTGCGGGGAGGGGATTTCTTTAGCTCCTTTCTCTGCCTCCCTCCTCCACTGTTCCCCTGCGCTTTCCGCATCACGGTCTCTAAGAACGCCGGCGTTCACACATTTTCTTGTGGAGTACTGACGATCGATCTGATCGTCTGGAAACCCTAGATTATATCGTGTTTCAAGGTGCTGAAATTTGCCTCGATATTTGTCTGGGGTTTCTGGGTAAGGAGCAGGGTCTCCGAAACTCAAGTGGGGAAGTGATGAAGAACCGGCGGATGTAGCTTCATGAGCTACCTTTTTTGGTGTGAGCTACCTTTTTTGGTGTGAAGTCAATAAATTTATTCCATTCTAAAATTATCTGACCGGAATTTCATCTCCTACGGGATAGTTGGTTTAGGGGAATCTGATAAAAAGGAGTGAAAGCGGTGGGGCGTTATGGCTGACCAGGTAGAGGGGAGCAGCGAACCAGTCGATCTTTCCAAGCATCCGTCCGGCATTGTTCCCACTCTACAGTAAGCCCTTTTTCGTGCTTCCTGTATCTTATCGAAGTGGTTAGAGGCTTTTGCCAAGAGACATGTGTGAGACGTTTTACGGCGGGACTTCCAATTTCCACGAACTCGACGGGCTCTCAGTTGAACATCCTGTTGAAGAAAACATGAGTAAAGTTTGCAAATGTATTGCCACCTATCGCTTATGGTTGAGGTCGGTGAAAAGTTCCCCACAATCTTCTGTTACGAAACCTGGGGAATGAATTGAAATTGTAACGATGGTCTCCGCTTTGGGTTTTCACGAACAAGGGTTGGCGAAGAAATGTGTTTTCTTTTTTTTTCAGTTCATTTGTTACTGATCGATCTTGTGCTCATAATGTGTGCATCCTGTAACGTTGAAAAATGTTTTTTCAACGCGAACTGCTTTTCGTAATTGATTGATAATTAGTCTTAATGTCCGTTTTATTAATGTGTTATATGATACTTTACTAGAAATTCTATCCTGTGAAATTGGAGAACCCTTTACCGTGTAGCTTGCAGTTTTTATGCTGGAATACGGTGAAAGAGTATATCCAACAGGTTGAGTGTGAAGCATAGCATGATTTCAGATTTCTTAAGATGATGAGGAGATTTGACTCCCTGCTATGGCAGCTGTTTAAGGGAAAAAAACCGGCCAAATATCTTATCTTTCGCCACGCTCCTCAAATTCCATGGGAAGACATCACCGTTGTTATGTCTTATTGTGACATAGCTGATGATCCCATGCTATTTTCTTGAACTACGAGAACGTTTTTACGTAGTCCGTGCTTATTTGACCCTTTTTTTTTTGCCAGTTCTCTTTTTTCTTTTAAAGATTTATTGCTGTGATAGAATTCCTTTTTATTGGTATGCTGTAAGAGATTCTTTTATCAAAAGTATGTTTATCTCCTTAGATTGTGGTTGTCTTGTCACGCCAAAATTAATAGCTGAGCTGATTGTCGTATGCACTGAAAGGGAGACTTTGGGGAATTGTTGCCAGCTGTTTAGTTGAAACTTGGAATTAGGTTAGTGGATTCTTTGGCTTTTGGTCTTCGAACAGCCACAAACACGAGAGATTCTTCTGAATCTGTGCTTGATGCCTTCTGGATTTATTTGGTGGTGATCTTGGCAAATGGAGTCTCTCGCATAAACCTTGAGTCCCGTTTCTTTGGAATCCTGAATATACGCATGAGAATTAGGAAATTTTCGTGGAATGTATTATCAAATGTTATGTGCTTAATCCTGAATGTATTATCCAATTTCGTGTTTCTGTTTTTGAGTAACATGATTGAATTAAGAACAGTATAGAGCTGTCTTTGATTATTTTTCTGGTTTATATAACCATAATGGGGAGGAAATTTTAGCTGATGAATTTTTCTTTACTCGTCCTGCAAAAAGGAACATTGTTTCAACTGTTAACTTGGACTGCAAGCTAGATCTTAAAGCCATAGCTTTGCAAGCTCGCAATGCTGAGTACAATCCCAAGGTACAAAACTGCACAACATCTTCTGTTCAACATCGATATTTACGCTTGTAGCTTTTTTTTTCGAGAGTAAACGACATATAAAAAAACTCTTTTAAGGTTATATCATGTTTACAAGAAATATGTTGTACTTTTTAGAAAATATCCTGTTCTGAGATCTGGAATACTGCATTCGTGCAACATATTCTATTTATCAGGAGAAAATTTATGTTAATAAATAATCTGAAGAGACCAAATGGGTCGCTTTCCGTGTGATGCCTATTTGTCCACATAGTATCTCGATTATTTTTTCTTCTTCTGTCATCATCCTTGTATTTTCTGGGAATGTTTCAATTTATTGATGTGTATGTTTCACAGCGTTTTGCGGCG